TTTGCATGAATGTTAGTATTTGAGTCTTAATATTTTGTTATTGGACGGAACGAATTAATAGAAATTTTTTCTATACAATTGCAGAACAGATGCATGGCGTAATTAAAGGAATGAATTAAGAGAGAAAAATAATCGTGTACATAACAGTATAAAGTTAAGCGAAGAACAATTCGCCGGTAATTTCTTCAAGCCTCTGTAGCTCAATTGGTAGAACAGTTGCCTAGAGAGCGGTCTAGTTCGAGGAGAAAATTTTTTAATAAATTGCCTTTACTCGTTCGTTCGATTACGTCATCCATCTGCTCTGAAGTTGTTTGAGAAAATTATAATAGTTAGTGCTTAAATATTCGGGAAATACGCCAGGTATTTGGCATGCCATATCACACATTTTGGCATCACTATTATAACTATCATTTTCTACCTGAACTCGTCAAACTTGAAGCCTTTGAAATTCAAAATTATGCACGTTCTGTACCACAAAGAACATTTAATCAACTTCAACATTAGAAAAATATTATTATTTTTACATTTTATGAAAACCTTATTATTTTTCACTTTAAGAATCCATCCGTCTCTATTAAAAACAAAAAATCCTTAGGGATAAAGTAAAAAAAAGTGCTGAACATAAAACATGTTTCTGTTTAAACAAGACAATTTAAAATTTCCATGCAAATTCTTCAATATCTGAAACCAGCGTAATGGAAAACGAAACAAAAAGGAAACAACAACAATAACAACAACATACTCTCTTATTTTATTCCTTGTTCGTTTTTAATTTAAAAAAAAAAAATAATTAGACAAGTTTCATGTTTTCCTCTGCGCCATATACAAAGATACATTGAGGAAAATAAGCAACAAAAAAAATTATATTACACTAGTTCTAGTGCAAGGTAAATATAATTATGTACCTGTGTTTATGTGTAAAAAAAATTTACGTGCATATGTATATATACGTGTATATTTGTATATTGCACATAAACAAACTAATCATTAAAAGAGAGAAAACTTTATTATTTTAAGGTAATATTGAATTGCATATCAAATGGTTGTAAATCTTTTTTTAATGAATAAAATATGAGAGTTAAAAAAAAAAATGCTGATGATAGTTGTTTGTTTTGTTTGCTGTTTGGTTGTTAGAACAACCGAAAATTAATGTTATGATGGTATTACACTTGTTGTTGGTTTTTTATTATTGCTGTTATTATTGCTCTTAAAGTTATTAAACAAGGATTATATATGATGAACATGAGAAAGAATAAGCAAAAAAAAATAATAGAGAAAAATAACTCATTAGTAGTTTTAATAAAAATGAAGATTTTGATGTGCATACACACATAGGTACTATTATTATTTTTTTTTTTTGAAATTTTAAACTTGTCATCAAAACTCTGTATAATAAGAATAAAAATAAACAAAAAAAAAAGAGATTGAAATATTTTCGAAACTCTTGTCTACATAATTAAATATTTTCCATGATTATTAAAAGAAATAAAGTGTGTATTTACTCATTTTTCATTCAAGAGAATGGCACTTCAAGTTTAAATTAAATTACTCTTTTTGTATATTGTTATAATTGCTATGGGCTGTTTTAAAAAAAAAATTTATGCACGTAATCAGTCCCACTTCTGGCTTGTTTGGCGTGCTATGCAGTAATTTACGCATTTTCGTCTAACTTCATCATGCTGAACACATAATTAGTTATAGAATTAAAGCCTGGAATTTAACTTTCAGCTTTTATCAGTTACAGGTATGTTATCAAGTTAATGACACCGTTAAGTATTAATTAAAATTTTTTATTTTTCAAAATTTAGTTATTTTTTTAAATTTTTAATTACGCCCGTGTTTTTCAGCGCCCATTGCAAATGTTTACTTTGCATATATAGTAGATCCGGCACTGCACATAATATAATTAAAGAACTTTCGATTATTAATAGAAAAATTAAAATTACCCTAGTCTCGTAGTAAAGATAGTGTAAATAACGACTTGAATATTTTTAAAATCTTCAGAACAATCAAGTAACTGATGAACTTCTAAAAGATTATTTTCCTTTACTTGTACCGAACATGAAATTGAAATTTATTTTTCCTTTTCGAAGAGATTTTTCTAAATAATAATGTAAGAATAAGATTAATAAAATTAAAGTGAATTTCCAACTATTCTTTTCAATTTTAGAAAATTTTAAAATAAAAATTTACGCATCAAAAAAATATCAGCATAAATTTTAGAATTACCAACATTGTATAGAGGCTGAGTAATGCAATGCAATTACCATAATTTTGTCTTCCTTTTAACTAGTTAAAAAATATTAAAATTATGAGCGGTAATAACTGCAAAAATTCTCTGTTTTTTTGTTCTTTTATAGCAAACTGATAAAATCAAACTTGTACCATAATAAATTTGAATTACTACCATGGAACCTACATAATGAAATGTAAGAAGCGGAGTGAAAATAGAATAATTATAATTATGGCGTCATTTATAACAAATTATCAATGTGTATAACAGTTTTATATTTTTACATAATATGTAAAGAATTTCGGTTCCTGTTTTCTTTGCTTTTTTTTCAAAAATGAAATTTTATTATATACGTTCAAATAAAGTTTAATTCTTTTAACTATAATGGCATAATTGTGTATTTCGGTATACACAGTTGTAGAGAAAACAAAAATCAAAGCTCGGAAACTCTGGTAATATCAAGGCTAATATTATAACAAAATTGCTTTTTTTCCTCAAGAGCTGAAGGTGACAATTGACAAATTTAAACGGAAAAAAGTCTTACATTCAAACAGTATGGGCGAAATGGGCCAATCCTCTTCCAGAAAAGGCTTTCAAGACTCGCCCTTCGTTTACAGAATCTTAATTTTTTAACTATTTTGATCGAAATGATACTGAAATGAAAGCTGTAACCGGAGTCAATTTTGATTTCTGCATTAGGATAATATGAACAGTTTTATTTCACAAATGTCGCTTTGGTACAAAAATATTTTAAATATGAACTTAGCACCACATACTTTTCTCTTTATTACTAAAAACTGTTCAGATATTTAAAAAAAAACCCCCACCATATACTAAATGATTTTACGAAGTCATTTAAAGAAAAAAACTTATTGCTTAACATTTTTTTGGTACGGATTAAATAAATATCACTGGCATTTTAAATTATTCAACTTGTCATTAGCTTTTTTTTTCGATTTAATTTTTTATAATTTCTGGTTAGGTATATATGGGCTTTAAAAAACAAGGAAAAATAAAAGCGTGGGGACAGAGTTAAGACGATAATCTTTTGGAAAAAAAAAAAGTGACTGCAACAACAATAAAATGATGAAAAAAATTAAACGTAAAATGCGTGATTGCTGGTTGTAAAATCAAACAAAAGTCATTTTAAATTGCACTATAAAAAAACAAACTACATTTTTACATTTATCACACATATATCGTGTACTTGTAGGGTTTTCCAATATGAAATGGAATTTTCTGGAAAATTCAAAATCAGAAATTTTTAATTTTAATGTAGAACAAAGATAATTCAAATGATAGGCGGGTTTAAAACATTTCGAGCATAAAAAATATTTGAGAAAATTTACGTCATGTTTGGTAGACGAGATATTTGAATATCACGAAATTGAACGAATAGAGATATGGTCTATGTACTCGAACTTAGAAATTTATCTCGGTAGCCCCCTATTGTATTTAGCAATAGGGGGCAACACACAACCAGAGAGAGTCGTTAGAGTCTTAAATGCATAATTTCCAATTATTCCCGGTTCGAAGTAATGACAGGAGAGGAGGATAAGTATAAGTGATATAAGAAGTTTTAATTAATGAAAAAATCAAATTTGAAATTTTTACAAAAAATAGATTTTTTATAATAAAATTCTGAAGAACCCTATACGCGTTGTGTAATTGGAAAGTATATAAAAAAAATTTGTGTGCATACGGGGATTATGACCCTCCAAAACGTAAGTTATTACTCAGATATTTATGTATATAATAATGTGAACCTAAATGTACATTTTTATTTTAAAAGTGAAAAGTAAAGAGTAGAAGAATTTTGCTTAAAGGAGCATTTATTGGCTATAATAAAAGTTTTTTTTTTTTTTTTTGATGATGATTCGTTCTTTCATTTGCTCTTGAATTGCTTTCTTGTTTTTATTTTATTTTCTTTGTTTTTTTTTTTTTTTAATAGCAGATGGGATTGTGGTCGTATACAATGACGGATTACTAGTTAAATTGTTTTTCAAGTTCCACATTTGCCCATAGCATACAATATTTCGAATTCGGTGTATATGAACCATAATAGATATATTGTAATTGAACAAGATTTTATGACCATTTTAGAATGAGGTGGAATCAGTGTACATAGTTGATTTGAAAAACAAAAACGAAATGAATAAATCTATATGTACGATCGTTAAAATGCTGCTATTGAAGTATTTTTTTTAATGGTTTTTTATTTAAGTTTTTTATTGGTTTTTTTTTTGGTTTTTCCTCGATTTTTTTTTCCTGTAATATTTTATTTAATTTTCTCTGACTAATGATGTATATTTTTATTACCGTAATATGTGTATAATATGCTAGAAATGGTTTGAAATAAGTCAAATTAATTTTATATTTTCTAAAAATTTTCAATAATCTACCGTATTAAATAAAATTTTATTGAATGTTATGGATGCTTCGAAAACGAAGGAGGATTGAATTTTCCATTAAATTAAAATTTACTTCTTGAACGGCTGAAAATTCCGTATAAACGGCGTTTTAAATGAATATTAAAACTTAAACATCGAAGACTCTGTCGCCGAAAGTTAAATGAGTTTTCCTACATTTTTACCTTAATTGTGCAATAAGCTTAAAGAAGTGACCTTAGTTGTGAGGTAGGAAAGCTGTTTAAATGCAAATTTTACATATTCAAAATTCAGTGTTCAAAGTTAAAAGTATGCGAACAACACACAATACAAAATGTTTGAATAAAATAAATAAATTGCTATTTAAATGATAAGCTTACCATTAATGTGGCTGACCATGATGTTTCACCACTTTCAGATGATGCTGTGCATGTATAAAGTCCAGTATCAGCCAATTGTAAATCTATATAAATAAAGAATAATAGGAAAAAATTTGCCTTAAATTATTTGATATTCAATTTATATTTATTTTAATATTCCATATGATTTTAATCAATAAAATTCAATTGAAAGCATATTTAATAAAAAACTACTTAAAATATCAGATTGGTATTTCTTTGGATTGGTACAAAATTTTAAACAAATTCATCTACTTACCATCAATTTTAAGTGAACCACTTTGAACAATCATAAAACGATGAGTATTTTGTAATGATATACCATCTTTATACCATTTAATTTTTGGTATTGGATTACCAGTAGCACGACATGGTAACATAGCATAACTACCTTTTGGTAATGTTTGATTTGTTGGACCAATTTGTATAATTGGTGGTGGTGTATCATCAACTGATGTTACCTATTGAAGGTGAATATTAAATTAAAATATTAAATAAATTGAAAGTATAATTATATAAATTTTGCAAATAATTGAGAGAAACATTAACCAGGATTAGAAATTTTAATTATTTAAGAATTTCTGTCAACTCTGACTAATAATAACAGCTGAGAAGAAGTGAATTGAAACCTTTGGAGGACACTCTCCAAAAATTTTGTACGCTTTATAAAATTTTCATACTTATAAATTTAAACATTCACAGAAAATACTTAATTTTTAGATATGTAGGGAATTGTTTGTTATTCCACAATTATCAAGATTTCATTAAATTAATTTCGGATTGGTTGCACAATAAAATTTATTGAGTACTCTTCCTATTTTGAATTGGAAAATTTTCTTTTATAAAATAATCAATATTTCCTTATTTTTCTTCCTCTAAAATTTCCCATTTTAAGTTTATAATTTAAGTGCAAACAGACATTTAAAAATCATCTATAGGTATTGAGAAATAACTTCTACTAGCTTATTGTAAATGATTAAATTAATTGTTGATATTCTATTTTCACTTTCACCTACAACTTTTACTATGCTACCCGTATAAACTGGTAATAATGGTAAAAAAAAAGAAAATTCAATCTATAAGTAAATAAACATCAATTAAAAATTTATTTTATAGATTGAAAACTAATTCTTCATTTTGAAAGAATGGAAAGGAATTTAATATTGTATACTTTATTCAAGTGCCCTTAGGTGATTTGTCGTATATAGCGGAAGGACATGAAAGAGAATGAGAGGTTAAATATAAATAAAATAAATTCTCAATTATATTTGAAATTACAAGAATAGACATAAATGTACCTGTTATATATATATATATATATATATATATATATATATATATATATATATATATATAAAGTGATATTTACCTGTAAAAATGCTCGAATAGTTGATGAACCAGCAACACTTAAGGCTGAACAAACAAAATAACCAGCATCTTCTTTTTGTGCACCACGTATTTGTAAAGTACCCTTATTTGTAACATGCATATGACCATATGAATTATCAGGAAACATTAAAACTTGTGATCCTTCTTTTGTCCAAAAAACTGATGGCGGTGGATTACCATTTGCAACACAATCAAATGTTGCAATACCATTTAAACCAATTTTTTTATCTTGCGGTTTTGTTGTGAATATTGGTGGTGCTAAAAAAATAAAAAAAAATATTGGTTACTTTTATTTTAGAGAATGGTTAATGTGATTTTTATTGTTGTAATTTAAAAAAAAAAAGATTTTTTAATGGAAAGTTTAAAATTTAAAAATTTGAAGTGCAGACACTAGTAATAAATAAATATCTTATTTATCTATTTTATGCTTTCAGGAAATTGAATTGAAGAAGTTCAGTATTAGAATAACGGCAGACATTTCCTCATTTTGAATATACTTGTATGTACATGACAAATATTATTTTTTACTATGGTATAAATAATATTTTATGGGAATACTGAAGATAACGCTAGAGGCCTTAAGTTAATGAAAATTTGGGTTGTAAATTACTGGATTTTAAAGAAATAACAAATCGGAAATTAAAATTTTAAATTAGAGGCTTGCTTTTAAAATTGAAAATAAATTTCTTGAAGGCATATTAAATTTTAAATTAACTGTTAACCGGGGTGTTAGTCTAGTAACTTCAGAGTTAATATTTTATTGAAAATATTATGTTGGTATTAATACAATATCATTGACATGACTTTGTTTTAAAAGCATGCAAAGCCAATAATCCTCATAAAAGCAAAGAAAAGTGAATTTGTTGGTCAGTAAACAATTGATCTCAAGAAAATAACAATGTTATAACCCAGTTTTATAGATTCTGAATGGAAAATCAATTTCATTATGTAAGATTTATTTTAAACAAGTTTTTTCATTAATGCTAAAATAGGACACTCTTTGTAAATTTTTTAATTACTCTGAGTTTTTGCATGGCACTTTTCTCTTCCTTTTAACGAGACATTAACTTTCAATTAATTTTATTTTCTAAAAATTTATTTAAAACTTAAAGGTTTAATTTCTTTATTTACAAAATCTATAATTCAAAATTAAATTTAAAAATTTAATTACATTGAATTCGAATTAAATGAATTTCTAAAGAAATCAATTGAAAAATTTACAACAGAAAACAGGAATAAAATCCTTTAAAAGAATAATGAATAAAAAGATAAAGAATTCAGTCATTTTACTTACAATGTACAGTTAGATGAGCTTGGGCACTAATCTCTCCAACACTATTCTGTGCTTCACAAATATAAACACCTTCATCTTCTGATTGAACATTTTTTATTACAAGACTTTTGTCCTCTTCTGTTATACTCGCCCTATTAAATACAATAAAGCAAATAAAAATTAAAAAAAAAAAATGGAAAGGAAATTTTATAAAACCTTGTTCAAAATTTTTTTTTAAATAAAAAAATTGTATAATAGGAAATTTATTTTATTTTTTTTTTTTTCAATTTGAAACAAACTTTTTGTGAAGATTAAAATTAATAAAAGAAAAACACACTTTAATAGGAAAGCAACAGTTTAAGGTAACAATAGAATGATAATTTTTTTTTTAAATTCCTTTCTCTTTTAAATTTTTATTACCTTCCAACTGGCATATTTCCATCATTTTTTCGCCATAATATTTGTGGTTGCGGATCTCCACCAACTAAACATTGAAATGTTACTGTTTGACCAGCTAAAATTTGACTATCAGGTGGTTCTTTTGTAAAGAATGGTTTTACTGTAATGATAGAAGGTAAAGGAATAAATTAAATAACATTTTATTACAAAGGTATAATATTTTGCATAAAGAAAAAATTTAAATGTATAGTTTAGTAGTAGTAAAAGGTACAAGTAAAATTGTAATTTTCTGGAAATTTTCAAAAAGTTCACATATCCAAAATTGCTATCAGAATGCGTCTAATGCCCACCAAGTCTAATTCCCACCGAATTCCAATTTCAAAGGCTTGATAATTTTACTATCTTTTTCTTTCTCTAATTGAAATATGCAAAGAACATAATTTTTTAATAAAACTAAATTGAATAGATTCGAAAATTAGGTAGTGAAACTTTTGTAAACTAAATGACGTTGACTGCATTTAAAATTTCCGAATATGAAAAAAACTATGCTTTAAAATAAACTTATCTAATTTTAAATGAAAATTATATAAAACTTTTGACTTTACTTAAATTGTTAACCAAAACTATTCAAGCTTATATAAAATATACCCAAATTATTAACTCTCAACTAAATACCAACCAATTTAACAGAATAATTTATTATTGAGCGTTTTTTTTTTCTTTAAATACAAAATCGCAAAGTTAAAAAGAGTTAAGAACCATAAAAAATTTAAAATAATAAAAAAAAAATAATAGGATTAACTTCCTCTTAATATAAATTATTTCTTAATTAGTTATCGGTATGGCTATTATACTTTAGGCAAAATTTCACCCGGAAGTATGCAATATTTTTAATGAAAGCAAAAAAAAAAAAAAACATCAGAATTTATTACGGAAATATGGTCAGACATTTATATATTATATAATTTATATAAAATATTCCATTTTTTATTCTTACTCACGTACATACATACCTATATAATTATATATTAACAAAATTTACATAGAATCTGTGTGAGTTTTTTAACAAATTTTTTTGTTTTTGTTACTTTTATTTTTAAAACTTAATTTTTTCCTTTTGGAAAATTCTTTTAACTTCTATCCATGCATAATCTACATTTCTATAACATCAAAAGCTTTTCTCTTTTAATTTTTTTTTATTTTTCTTATTTCAAAATTTTAAATTAATTTTCATATAATAGCTTAAAGGTAATAAAAAACTTTATAGAAAAAACTGTATAAGAAAAATAAATTAATTGAATTCTTTTGAAAACTTTTTTCTATTTATAAGACTTTTTTATTATTTTTGTTTGTTTTCTTTCTTATAATATAAAATTTAATCTCATTTTGGTGTACCAACATGTTTACTTACTTATAAAGTGAATATTATCAATAGTTACCCCTATAAGTATGCAAAATAATGAAATTTACTTAAATTTTATTGTAATGGAATATAAAAATTTCTTTCCATAAATCATACATAATTATTTAATATACATACATATATATGTACAAGTATACACATTATGTGCTCTATTGTTCATATATGATTGTATGTAATTTAATAAAATATTCCTTTATGACAAATATACCACCCACCCTACGAATTAAATTTTTTATTTCTGTTATTTTCTTTTTCATTTTATTCGTTTTTATATTTTTCTTTTGTGTCGAAAATTAATTATACTTTGCCATAAATTATGGTGACAAATCAACATAATAACAGCATCTTCTTTTTTTTGCCTCCCTTATATATGCAATTATAATAATTTCCCTACAAAACGAAAAATGCTTACTAAAAAAAAAAAAAATGGAGAGAATATTTATATGAAGAGAGAGGAAGAAACATTCGAGTAATAGTATTATAATTAACAAGGTTTTCATTTTCGTTTTGTTGCTGCGATAATAATGAAATAATCCTTGAATGCTATAAGAATATAGTTACGATAATGAAAAGGAATAAGTAACTGTATTCTCCTATGTTATGTTACTTGTTCTATTTTATAACAATTAAATTCACCAATAGATGGCAACTATATATGAGTATTTTTTAGTTTTAAATAAGAAATCGGAGAAATTTTTGATGGGGATGGTGATAATTGCTTATTGCAAAATATTTTTTTAATATTCTGCAAAAACAGTGAGTAAATTAGAGAGTATAAGTGATTATAATAACGTACAATAAAATATTGAGTCTATTTTTAAAATTATCAGCTTAGTAATTTTATAAAACTGCATTATGACACTCAGAATAGCTTAAATAAAATTGTAATTTCAAAAGAGCCTACAACAAAAGGTGAATTGTCTTGAATTTGACGAAAAATTTCGTAAACATTAAATTTTATTGAATATTTTTATTTAAAACAGCATTATCGCTTAAATTGAAATCAATTTGTATTTGTAAAGGATTTTTCTTAAAATCCATATACTATAAATAATAGTAAACATGATTTACTTAGGAAATATTCATCTAGTATTTATCCCTTATTCTATTGAGATAAAAGTATATTCTATACAATTTGTTTCAAATAAATTTTAATATTGTAAAAATAAAATAAGGACGAAAACATACTGTCGTCGTTATAAAAATTTTTCCTTGGTTAATAAATTTTTCTGTAAAGTTTTAAGATTGAATTGAGAATTTATATAGAGCCCTTCTATAATACGAAATCATGTTTTTTTAAATTCCTTTTGGAATATAAAAAGGATCATGATATGTTCTGTTTCTAAATTTAGTTTTATTTAGTCATGTAGTAGATTTCGGTGGCGTTTTTCTTAAGAGAACCAAAAACTATGTAAGTACAGTGAGGTTTATGTGATTTTTTAACTTAGTCACACCCTTTAGAAAAAAACTGACTCTTTAGAAAAAGCAAATTTTCAATTTTATAGTAATTTTGAATTCATCCATTCATAATAGAACCACAAAATTCAAGTGAAATATGAAATCGAAAATTAACTTATTCTTTTGTGAAATTTCAAACGCAAGATGGAAAAATTTTTGAGGGCAAGATAACACAGTATCAGAAACTGGAATTTTTGTTGAGGTTATTTCGTGCTAATTTTAAAATGAAAACACCAGCTAAAAAATTTTCAATAAAAATTTTAAATTAAATGTTATTTTTAATTTGAAATTCATCAAATTTTAAAAATTATTCAAAAATAAAATTAAATTCATATTTAAAATGTTTAAAATTTTCCAAATATGTTAAGCACAACTAAAATTCTTTTCAACCAAATAATAATGATTCTACTGTAACCGTTTACAGTCATATAAGTCTTGAATATTATAAATTAGATTTAAAAAGTAGTAGAAATCAAATCAGAAAAAAAAAAATAATCTCAATTCTAAACTTTTACACGAAAATTTTACACCTTTCCAAGCTATAGTTATGTGCATCTAGACATCTACATTTTTGTTTTTTCAATTTATTCACAAAATTCGTTTCCTTATAACGTTATTAAGCTTATGTATATACGTTGTATACTCTGCATTATTATAGAGTCTTTATACCAAATGCAATTTAATAATAATAGTAATAAAAATAACAAAAAACGAGATATTTATATATATACATACATATATACATAATTTACATAATATGTGAGTATGTACTTAACATGTTATGGTACAGATAGATTTAAAAGTGAATTTGCATATATTATGTAAGATGTATGTGAGTAAAAAATAAAAAATAAAGTTCAAAACAGAAAAAAAAAAACACGGTTTTTATGACTGTTATTGTTGAGAAAGAGAGAAATTTTTACAAAAAAAAAAACATATAATATTGTACTCTTCATCAGCAGGATCTTTTTGGTATCCTATAAAAAAAACTTCTTGCCTTAAAAATTGGTTGTTGTGTAACATTTTCTTTTTTATATCGTGAAAAACATGTAATCCAATAAATTTTAACTGTGTATGTGTGTATGGAAAATTTTTTTTCTTATATACAATTTAAGTATATTTGAAGTGCATTATAATTATATTCGCATTCATCTAATTTTCATTTTAGCCACATACATACTCGAACACAGAGCTATAGTTGCATAAATTTTTCTAAATTTAATAATATGAGAATTGTATGTAAGTATATACAAATGTGCATAAGTTTGCTTGAATTTTCCGAACCTTGAACGAAAAGAAATTGAAAATGCAAAAAAATTGAAAATTTCTGTAGCCTTCTTTTGAATTTTAATATTCCATTGAAATAATGTTATTTTTTGCATTTGCATACACACTTTTTTTTAGGAGAAAGAAGAAGTAGAAGAAAAATAATGTTCTTTTGTGTAGTATCGCGTAACATTAGAATAAAATTCTTATATGTAAATGAATAAATTTTTTTTTTTTGCTAAAAACCTACATTATTTTATTTAAGTGAAAGATACGTGTGCAAGTAAATATGCAATACATACACGTTATATATGTACACGTACATAATTATTCAAAAGTTAGTTGAGAAAATCGAAAAAGGAAAATTTTTAAAGAATTATTTTTATTTTAAAAGGAATTATTTTTCTATTTTCGTGCTAACATAATGATTTTTCTTAAGACAGTGCTCCATTTTTTTTTTCAGAAAGTTCCTCACATGAATTTATAAATAATCTGCCATTACAAAGATTTAGAAACTGAGTTAATTTAAAAACTGAGAAAATGGAAAAGTGTGATGCTTAATACATAGAAAAAAATTTTTTAAAAGCTTTCAATTTTTTAAAAACTTTCTTCTTGTTCAGTGAGCCAAAAAATGAGAATGGTCCCGTGATAAAATTTATTAAAGTACACAATATCTGACACTTCACATGGCAAATTTGCATAAGAAATGAAAATGTAAGTCAAGGAGAGTAATGTTCCAAAATTATATCAAATCAAGCGCATTGGACAAAATTTGAAATGTACTAATTAAATGTGAAATTTAGTTAACGAGTTGATTAAAAAATATATCGGAGTTTGCTTCCACTAAACATTAAATTTTTGGATTACGCTAATTTTTGTCATAGGGCATAGGCCACGTTTACTTCTTCTATATTGTACTAATGAACTGTTTGAACACGCTATATACATAGCGTGTTCACAAGAATTATTTCAGAGGTTTGTTTTACTCGTTTTGTCCAATTATGCGTAACACTTCTTTCAGTTTTTATATATATCTTGAGATTATTCAAATAACTACTTAAATATTTAGAAATTTCAAATTAAAATGAATATAAAACGAACCTTAATTTCTTTTAAGAGCACATTTGATGTTTCGAAGAGCACAAGAATTGAAACCCGTATAGTTTTCGTAGTTTTCAGTGCATCTTTATAGACTAGGCAAAAGACACAATTTCAAAATAGTGTTCACTTACGGTAAATAAATTAGCATAGTAAAATTAATTGATTATGAAAAAATTATAACAAAATGTTTGACAAGAACATTTGTTCAATTGCATTATATAACAATTTGTTAGAAAAATGCTCAAGAGCAAAGTGACCTAACTCAGATTTACAATTTATTGCAAAAAGAAAAGGGACCTAACAAATTTAATAATGCCTATAAATTATTTAATTTTACAGTATCAATTTAAATTATTTGTTATTTGAACTAAAATATGTATATAGAAATCCTTAGAATTCCTTGAAAAGAAATTCCGTAAAATCGTTACAATAAAATGATAGTTGATTGTATTCTATACCATTATCAGAAGCGACCATATTTTCAATATTCGAAAATTTTATATAACAATATTTGTTAATGATTTTAAAGGAACACTGGTTACAATTTTATATAATATTATTTTTGTATTATAAAATTTAAAATAACTATTATGATTGTTACTATTTTTCCAAAAATATTTTATACATATACACATAGATAGTTATATTTAAATTATTGTTTGATGTTGATGATGGTAATGTTGAGATAATTTATATTCATGCAAAAAAAATAGTATACTCGTATATTCAACAATAAACAGTACATTTTTGCAAAGCAGAAGAATAACAAAAAATTTTAAAAGTATTTTAATAAATTGAGTTTATTTAACTATTAATAACAAAAAATATATGTATGTATGTATTGAAAAATGTTAAATGTTTTCATATCACATACATGGTTTTTGTACATGTTGTTAAGTACATACTTTTAATGATGAAATGTTGATTGCTGATAAACATTTTTCATGTACGCATCATGCAAAAAAAACATAGAAATGAAAATCTTGTATATAAAAGATTTTTCACAATAATAATATTGTGAAAAATGTTAAATATTATGCAGACATTTTCGTATTCAATTTAAAATATTTAAAATAATTAAGAGAAATTAATTTTTTTATTTCTCATTTTCTTTTGTAAATATTTAATTAGTTTTAATTTCTGTATACATATAGGTATTCATATTTTAATGAAATGAAAAACTTTTATAAAAATTTATAATATTTATGTATGAATTGAATGTTTAAATAATGGGAGTCTAAAATAAATAAATAAATTTCTTACTAATTAATTATTTAAAATAAATTAATTCAAATAATATTAATATTTTCAAAGAATGTTTTTGTTTTACATATTATTATTTTCTTTTATCCTTACGAGAAGTGAAAAATTTTACTGGCAAATATGGTGTTCGACATAAAAATATTTTACCAAAACAAGTTATACTGTGAAATGTTTTTCCAATTCCGCTTTTTTACTCAATACTGAGTAAACAAATTCGCATGATTCTATGAGGAATATTACTAAATTAAATAGTACGAGCGATGCTTCAGGAGAAAATATTACTAAATCAAATAGAGTGAGAGTTAATACTAGAAAATTTCAATTACTTTCTTCTCAGTCAGTAGGAATTGAAATACAGAATGGCTCTATACTTTAAAATTTATTGAAGAGCACAATATCTGGCACTTTATCAGGCAGGCAAAAAGTACGTGTGACATGTAAATGTAAGACCAAGAGGGTGATCAACCCGGAATTATATCCAATCGAGTGTATCGAAAACAAGAGATAAATTAGCGAACTGTTTTCAGATAATTAACGTAATTTGATAAATTTTCAGTTTTTTATTACAAAATTTCATGCTTTAGCACTAATTACTTAAAAACAATAAGTCTGATATCAACCATTGATATTGCAGGTATGCAATTCTATTAACTAACAGAAATAGTTGCGTGCAAAACATTGTTTCAGCTTAGTAGCTTCCAAGCTGTTATGGTTCATTGTTCTGGATTCTGGAATTCTTTGTTAGACAGTAATCTTGTTTTCTTAAATCTTTTAAAATTACTGCTTGACTTTCCATCTAGACATTTATATCCCCTTCTAATTGAAATATGTACCTTTAAAATTGTAACGAAAATATTACGGCAAAATCATTAATTTGAGAATAACAATTATGGTTAAAAATTTAACCCACTCTCTCTGCAACAAGTTTTTAACTGATATTTCTCTCCGAAATGAATTCTTAGCTGAACCTATTAATTAACCATGCGTATGTAATGTATACAAATTATTTTTTTAATGGGCTTGTATTATTAACATTTAGCCATTCTTCATTTTTACTAAATTGTTTTATTAAATGTGCCAAATGACGCATTATATTGCATTATGAAATTTATAAATATACTTCACCCTAAACCCCTAACACTAATATACGTACAGACTAATGACCGTACTTTCAAAGGTTATCCAAATAAACATATCAGTTTTAACTAAAATTAGAATATTTTTTAAATATAAAAAAATTTCATCAAAATTTGCAACTAAAAAAAAATAATTTCTATTTAAATTTTTTATTCATAAATAAATTTCTATTTTATTTTTTAATAGTTTTTTTTTTATTTATTTATTCTAAATCAAATATTTATATAAAATAATAATTCTAAACAAATCTTTTTATTTATTTTAGATGTCATACGAAATATACACAAAATATCTATTTATTAAGCTATCAATTCCAAATCAAATAATGAAATTTATATTCAGATTTTTCTCTCTTTATTTACATACATTTTGTAATATCTCTTTAATAACAGAATGGGGGAAGAATAGAGAGTTGGATGTATGAGGACAAAACAATTAATTATTAAATAAACATCAACTTTATTCTCTTTGTTTTATTGGAATTGAATTTTTCCTTTATTATTTTTTTTTTTAATAAATTATTAGATTTGCCTTGCATTAATCATTATCGTATATTATTGATACTTAAGTATATAAATATCAACAATATTTTAAATAAAAGAATCCCAGCCAAAAGCAATTAAAATCAAAGGTCAAAGAGCTGTTCTTCTTATATAATTTATTCAAATATATAAGACACTTGAATTCAATTCTGATATTATATACATGATTATATTATATATAGTGTAATTATTGTTATATAGTATTTTTCTCCTTATTTTCTTACAAGACAAAATGTAATAATCACTAATACTTAAATTGAGTATTTATAGCCCCTTATGCATAAAATATAGAAAATTTTTAAAATTTTTATGTCTATATTAAATATTTACTTTACATAGTTTTTTTTTTTGTTTCCTTTCTTTCTTATTCATAACATCTATTTTTATCGTTTTATATAACTATCTACTATATTATCATATACTTATATAAAAATATATTCATATTTTCAAAAACACTTAATTTTTCATATACGTACGATATATTTAATAACTATATGTAAAATAAATAAAAAAAAATAATAATAAGTGTACTCACCTTGAACAGTTAATTTGGCATATGAGCTCTCACGTGTACCAACAATATTTTGTGCTATACATTTATATTTTCCTTCATCAATACGTCGGACATCACTTATTAATAAATTACCGCCATCTACAACACGAATACGTGACAGAGTTCCATGTGATTGGCTTCTAAAGTCATCTAGATCAATTGGTACTCCATCCTGTAAAACAAAAATAATAATAATAAGAATAAGAAATAATATGAAAAAAAAAAAAAATATAAAATTGAAATAATATTATTGTAATAAAGTGTGTGTTTGAACTATAGTAAAGGTATATAACATGTAAAATTATGAAGTACGTACAGCAGATATAGTTGTAAAGTTATGATAGTTAAAAAAAATGACAAGTGAATAATACTTAATATAATAATTGACTTTTGCATTTTTCATCACGAATTTATCATAAGTTTAAAATAAAATTAGAGATTGAATTTAACGTTTATGTGAAATATGAAGGTACGAGTATATATTAAATGAAATCAGTGTATTTACTTGATCTTTTGGGTTTAACTTCACTTCTAACAAATTGATTTTTTTTTTGCATTTGACGTTTAAACTCTGAAAATATCGTAGTAGAAGGAAGAAAATTCAAACAAATCAAAAATACACTGTGATTTTGATTAAAAACATGCTATAAAGGCAATGAGAGTCATCATTATTCAATATAACACTTTTGACATCTCATGACAAAAAAAAGTATTGTATTTTATAATTCAATACGAATTAATTTGCACCTAAAATTATAAATAAATAAAATAAATTAAATTATAAATATTTGTAATGATTCGAAAAATTTTCATATTTGTTGCATAAATTTAGGCGAAACTTTAAATTATTCATCTTAATACAAGGATGTGCTCAATTTACATTAAATACGAAATATTATCGTTCTATTTCTTTTATGTAAATTGCCTCCTAACATCGTCCGGTCGTCAGTTAAGTAATTAAAATAAGCTAAACAATTGGTTAGAGTTTCGGAATCTCTTTAACTGCACTATAATACTGAGTTGCTTTCAAGAACTAATAGCATTATTTAATTTATAATTTACCGAAAATGTCAACTTTCATTAATTTCCGGTTTCAAAACAATTTTTGTTTTATATTACGTATTATTTTTTATAAATTTCTTTGTACATGCTCTCACACACCATTATTATATTGGAAAAATATTTGATATTTTAATTAAACAATAAATAACGATATAAAATCATCAATTCGTAATCTAATTAACAATTTAATCATATACATATAGAAGAAATACAATTGATTATTGCAATAATTTCCAACGGATTTTTATGATATTTTCACTGTTATTTATTACATTTAATATTATGCAAATATTTTGTACGTAAATGCTATAATATAGCGGCGGCATGTTGAGAAAACCAATTTAAAATTAAAATTTTTTTCAATTTAAAATTTCATTTTTATCAATATATGTAAATACAAAAAATATGTGCCTAAAATTTCGATAGATCAATGATAAATGCTTATACATAATGAATTTATTATGATAGTAAATTTATAGAATTTTGACCTACTTTAAAATTAATTAAATATTCAAAAACAATTATTATAAAAACCAATAAATAACATTTTCAATATTATACAAAGTTTCATGTAAATATTAACCAAAAAATAAATTTATTTTATATTTTAAAAATATTTCATGTGCATATTAATTTCTTTAGAAATTATTTTGAAAATTTTACAATTACAATTTAGTACCAATAAGATTCAAATACATAAATTTCATATTCAAATGTGATTGTTCATGAGAAAAATTTGGAAATCCCCAAATCATTTTGATTACTTGGAAAGTTTAAGAGAAAGGCAGCCCAATGGTGTGGTGTGCTCGGATAATGGAAAATTACAAGAATTCTGTTTCAATTAAAATTTAAATAAGAGTACAAGTAGGGTCTATTTCTCCAACTTTCTGAAATAGATATTAAGATTATGAATTACACGAAACTGAACTGTTAATTTTATAAATTCCAATTCATCTTAAACAGGAAGCATATTTTCGTACTAAAAAAACTTGTACATACATCTTCAATAGTCGTATATATTTCAAATTTTGGCTAAAAAAATGTAAGCTAATCGAAATGAAATTAGAATTGTGGTCATAATTGAAATGTTCACATTTTTTATACACAATAATTATTAAATTGGATACTTGATATTAAAAATAATTTTGATGAAATTATTATTATTCGAATCACGTAATTTTTACAAAACAATGCATTTAAAATGCTTAATATTTATTTGAGATATTTTTTAATTTATTTTTTTATATTATATATTATTTTAATGAAATTCATAAATCTATATGAATTGAAAATAATATGTATGCCACCCTTAATGTTTGGTTTAATAATATTTTTTTTTTATTTATATAAATGCGTGAGTTATCCACCAATTTTTCTATATTTAATGTACAAGACCCATAGAATTTATATGTGAACATAAATTTTTCCCTATGGTGCGCACATATTTCTGTATACACACAATATATTATGTGTATGTGATTGCAGTTCATGCATAAGTAGTGTAATTTAATAAAAATCTCAATGACCCTTACCCATATATATTTTTTTTTTTCATTATTTTATTTTATTATTTTATGTAAAATCATTAAAAATACCAAAATTTTCAGTATTTGCAGTATATAGAATTTTATATAAAGTGATAAAAAGAGAGTAAGAATGAAATAGGAGTACAAGTATGTAACGATGTACAATTAAAATTTAGTACGATATAACAGGGTGAATTAGAAAGATTTCAAATTTGATATTCGATAATGGCAAGGAGAGTTGAATTAGAATTGGAAGCGTTTAAGTGAAATATTTGCTAAAATTTAGTCTTTTTTACCTATAATGCAAAACTGATCAAACTGAAAATGATTTTGTGTAACAGTTAAAATTAACCTTGTAAAATTAAAAGCGGAATTTATTAAAACTTTGAAGAACATTGTCAAGCAATTTGAGACAATGAAGTGGTATTTTAATTTCATACTTTTTCCTTCTATGGTATTTATTCCCGCTGTCACAATCACCAAGCGTTGGTCGGAATTTTTTGGTCGGTAACATCTGAATCAATTCTATTTAGGAGAATCTAATAGCAAAAAGAAATATAAGTTTCGGCTCCCGGGTATCTAAACTCATGTATCTAAAATTTTTGCTAAGTTCTAATTTCAATAATATAAAATATTTTATATGGACTCTAGATTTTTTATTAGAGCACCTGTACGGTATAGACTCGGCATCCACCTGGTAAAACTCAATGACGCAAGAATATGATTCATGATTATCTACGATATCATTTACCATTCTTATGCTCCTTCCAATAGCGAAGTATGATAAAAAAAACACCTAGACTCATACCATATGTTAAGCAAGCCGTGATTAGTCAAAATATTTTATTAATTTCAATTATATTCGCTTCAACTCAAATAGATAGCTGACGCATTACTCCATAAATCACCCTATCAACACACGACAAGTAACAGTAATAAATAATAATATTAATAACAACAGAAGAGAAAAAAAAAAATATGATATATTGTGCGCACATGGAGCATTAAAATGTCATCTTTCATTACGATATGTGCGCCAACAATTATTTTTAATTCTGTATATAATAATATCGTGACTCCATGAATAATTTATGGGGTCGTCTTTAACACTCTATTTAATAAAATAAAAAAAAAAAAGACCTTCCAAAAAAAAACAAAGAATTAAACAGTGTAAGTGTACAAAAAACAACAACAAAAAAAAACATTCGAAATAAAAGTGGAAGTGAAAAACAAATAACTGAAAACGTCTGGTGAGATTGCATTGTTATTTTCCATCCATATTATTTTATAATTCTGATTATTTAATTGGCAAAGATTCATAACCAATGCATAATTTAAGACGCACTTCAATTTTCTTTATTTCTTAAATTTGTTTCTTTTTTTTCCTGTATTTTCGATAAATTCTCATGCCGCCATTCTCAAGATTATTGTACATTCAATTTTTAAAAAGTTGAAATTTTAATATGCAGATTTAGCGCAAAATACGAGCAATATGCAGAAGTATTCAACAGTTGACTGCGTATATTTCAGTGACATGTGATAATTTTGACAGAATATAACCGAAAGCAATTTCTGAGATCAGTTTTTCACTGTTAATATGGAGCATGAAGTAAAACGAAAGAGGAAACTAACACCTTACAGTTTTGAGCCCACAACTATCGAATATCAATTTCTAATAACTATCAAACCATTATTGAGGCTGGTCGAGCTCAAATATAAATTTCTTACTAATTTCACTTGTACTAATAATGTAACTGAACTTGAATCCCCCGGACACACGAATTAATATGCAATATTCGACGGATTACAATTCAGACCTACATATACAATATAATAATTTTAATTAGAAATGTACTACAACGGATGCCTCGAATTAAAATTTGCAATCACATTTGAAAAAAAAAGAACGAATTCCCTATAATTGCATTTCATGAATGATTCATCTTCATTTTTCTTTGTACTCGCAATTTATTTTACTAAATTAACAATATTTTACTCGAATATTAATAAAGGAAATTTCGATTTTAATATTAAAACAAAAGATTGTGTGTACTATTTAACTGATTTCGAGGACAGAGAATATTATTATTGTTGTATATTTTTGATGCTGAGATAAAGGAAACACCTACGAGCTTCCTAAAGTGTTATTTTTATTTTTTTTTCGCTTTTTTCTTTTATTATTTTTAAAAATTATTTTCATTTATATTTTGTCGCGAGTATACACTCTGTTCTTGTTTTTTTTTATTTTCACATATTAAAAACGATTTTTATTGAAATCAATTAGAAAAAAATATTCATTGCATCGTTCCTAATATATGCAAAAACCAGTATGCAGTCTTGTATGACTCAAAAAAATTGGAGATGACACTTCTCGCTTCCATTTAATTTCAATGTTATTTTAATTTTGTTTTTTTTTTTTTTGTTTTTGAACTCAAACAAAGTATACAAGTACAGTGCATGCTATAATATATTAAACTTCTACACACAATTATACAATTTTTTTTTGTTTTGCATATTGATTAAGTAGAAAATTTTTGCGTGATTTCTGACACTTAATTAAGAGAATGGTATACATAGAAATTAA